TGGGAGCTGGACATGGATTATAGGATAATTGTGAGTTTAAAGATTACACCAGTGAAAGTGAAGGAGATGGACTCGGATATGGGATGACGAGGCCTGGAGGGCTGGATGGACATGAGCGGGGGTGAGGTGCGGGTAATGAGGGTAATGAGCTCTGGAGGGGGTCCATGGCCTGGGGGGGACCTTGGGGTGTTGCGAGCTGGGTTTCGACGAGGTGCCATTCTCTTACCGCTATCACCAACCCCACGACCATCCACCATCGTTAATCCAACTTATCTAACCCATCGTCGCGCAGGTGCGTCGCGGGAGCCAACACCGCGGACGGCCGTTACTTCGTTCGCGGCGTCCGGGAGTGCTGTTACATGGTGCTTAATTTGGCAACCCTGCATTGCGGTCCGGCCTTGTGGCGGTCCAGTCAGCTGGCGGCGCTGCTGCCAGCGGCGGTGGCAGGAGGGGCGGCGGCGCTGGGAGACTGGGTTGTACGGCTGCTCGTACGGCATGTACTAACACCGTGGGCGCAGCGCTGCCCGCTGTCCAGGGCGGGGGTGTGGATGGTGCCGTTGTGCAGGTGGGGAGTGGAGTGGAGTGGAGTGGAGTGGAGGGAAATGGCCCCGGGGATTTGTGTTTTGGGTTACGGATCTGGCTGTTACGCGGGAGTTTGGGGTGTGGGTGCCTTCAACCCCTTTTGTTGGGCCCCGGATATTCCCCACGCCCTCCCAAGCCCCCGGACACCCACTTTATCTCACCCTTGGACGTCAAAGGCCCTTGAACTTTTACATGTACGGCAGCTCTCCCGCCTGATTTTTCACGTACCCCTCGCTGTCCCGCTCTACCCCTTCCTCCCCGCCACACACACAAACACGCACCGCAGTGCGTTCCTGCCTCACATGCACGACCGGCTGAGTGGAGGATGGGCGGCCATGCAGGCGGCAGCAGCAGGAGGGGGGGCAGGGAGCGGGGGCGGGGCGGCCGCCGGCGGAGGCAGCAGTAGCCGGCCCGGGGTCAGGGGGGCCGGCGGCGGCGTCACCTGCTCCTCGGGAGCCCCTGGTGGTCGTGGTGCTACTGCCGCCGCCGCCGCCGCCGCAGCAGTAGCATCAGCCGCAGCAGCGGACGCTACTTCGGATGAGGTCCTCCGGGACTTGCTCTTGCGGGAGGTACGTGACAATCTGTGTGTGTATGTGGTGTATTGTGTATTTGTAGAGATAGCAGTCCGTTTCCCTCCGACCTCCTTTTGGCCCTTCCCCCTTCTGTCACTAACACGCCTGCTGCTGCTGCCGCTGCTGCCGCTGCTGGTCTCCAGCCACCGCTTGGCTTTCGCATTTCATTTCCCCGGCCCGCTTTTCCGGCTGTCCTAATCATATTCCCTGCTGTTTCCGCCATACATGTGCATAGTTCGGAAATGCTTATCCAGGCATTATGCAGACATTCAAGGATATTCCGACGATGCCCCCTGACGATGCCCTCAAACCATAACGCAGCTGAGTCGCGAGTACCTTAGCTTCCTGAACGCCCTGGTCACGAGGCGGCCTATCGAGGAGCCGTCAGGCGGGGTGGGGATCCCGGGGGGAGCCGCCCCTCCAGGGGGGCCCAGTAGTGCAGGGGCCGTTGGGGCGCTGATCAACTCACGAGTCAGCGCCAACGGCGGCGACGGCGCGGTACCGCAGGTACGGCGAAACACACACACACATACACTACATATCCCGCGCGGTACATAGAATTCATGAGGGTAGTAGAGCTGGCAGCTGCAGAGCTAGGTGTTTTTGAGGAAGGGAGGAAAGACGAACCACGTGAACGAGTGAAGCTGATGCCAAGGAGGATATAGACTGATACGCCAGAAGGGAGGAGGGAGGGACCCCGGGGGTTCAGAGGTGCACGAAGGCAGTTCTTAAGCAAGGGGGCCTGGACTGGGAGTGGAGTGGCGGGGATGATGGCGGCCTTGCGGGGGCTCGGGGATCTGTCCGTACTCATTTCTCACTAGAGTAATCGATAGAAAAAGCCAGGCCGGGCTCGTCTTGGGATGTTGCCCTTTGTTTTGTCCTTTTCTTGACTCCACCCTCCGAGCCGCCCTTAGCCTTTCTGTTATAGTTTTGTGGATATCCTTGTCCTACCCGGAAGCTATATATGAAGCTGATGGCGCACTAGGGCTTTCGGCCATCTAGTCGTCAATCACTCACTTCCTCCTCCAGTTTCCCCCCTCCCCGGGGGCCATAAGTGGGTGGGAGTCGGGGAGAAGGAAGCGATTGACCGCAAGATGGTTGACTGACAGATATGGTTCGGGCTTCTGGATCATCCCTCCTGTCCGCCTTCACTCGGCCACCGCTCCAACTAGCGCGCGCTTCGCTCGCTCTCCCTCTGCGCCTCCCCGCCCCCTGCTTGCCTTCATTCATGTTTATTTCTTTCCGACACAAGTACAAGTTGTAACTCTCTCCATGCCACCCTGCCCCCGCTGTCCCCATTAGGAGAGCATCCTGGAGGTGTTGCTGCGCACCCAGCCCGCCGCCGCTCAGTGCGGGCTGGTGACGGGGGTGGCGGCGCTGTGCTGGCCCGACACGGAGTCCGCCAGCCGGGCGGTTAGCTTCTGCAGGTCGCTGCTGGCGCTGCAGACACAGAGCCTAGGAGCTGGCGGGCTGCAGAATGGCGGCAGCCCCGGCAGCAGCGGCAGCAGCAACCCGGAATTGGAGGGTGTGGTGGTGGGGGCCGTCACCCGGTCCGCGATCAGCAGCCTGGGATTGGTATCCACGGTTATGGTGCAGGCGCAGGTAAAGGCAGGGTGCGACGAGGAGGTGGTGGTGGTGTGGGGTTAGGTAGGTAGGGGAAAAGATAGGGAGGTGGGAGGTAAGGGGGGAAGTATGTGCCAAGTCACGGGTGTAAGCAGTGGTGAGTGTGTATGGGGAGGGGGAGAGTGGGAGCATGGCGAGTCCCTAGCTGCAGCTCGTGACACAGGGCGTGCAGCCGGGTGGTGATGTCGGATAATGGCGTCGCGCGGGGGGTTGCCCGGGGGTTTGGGGGATGAAGGGGGGGAGACGGGGCAGGGGAGAGGGGGCAGGGGAGAGGGGGCAGGGGAGACGGGGCAGAGGAGACGGGGCAGAGGGAGACGGGGCAGGGGAGACGGGGCAGAGGAGACGGGGCAGAGGGAGACGGGGGAGGGTTTATGTGACGGCGGTAAAGTATTTTCCCCCGGAAAGGCGCGGGTGTGTGGTGGGGCCCTGAAGTGCCAACCCTGTGGCATGTTTATGATCTTAGGGTTTTATATATCTTGACGTTGCGTGTACACTGTGCGTGTGTGTATGTGTGTGTATTCGTCGTGCAACAGGTATTGGAGCTCCTCCGCTCCGTGCTGGCCGTTTACCTGCCTCCTAACCAGCCTCATTCGGCCCCGCTTCGTGCCGTACTGGGGGAGCTGCCCGGGGTGACTCCGCAGGTGTGTGTGTGTGGGGGGGGGGTTAAGGGGGGGATTGCTGAGGGAGCGGAACGCCTGGGGGGAGTCCACTTCGGATGGAGCCAACGGATGATGTTGCTGTGACCTGTTTCGGGTTTTTCACGAATGCATGAGCGTCACCACGTTATCCCTATGCTCGGCGGTGGCGGTGGCGGTGGCGGTGGTGGTGCTCAGCCCAGTAAGTGAACAGAGCAACCGCGGGGTGGTGATATGTCGAGCCTTCAACCAGTAGTCAACATGTTGCATGTAGCTAACTGTCGATCTGGACCACCACGACGTTTGTAACAAGTACAGCTGCTAGTGGACTTCATGGACAGCCAACCTGGCCATCTCACCTCTGAACCCGAAACCACCCCTGGCGCATTCCAACTCGCCATCCCCAGCCTACCCCACTTTTGCAAACACGGTGGGGGTTCACGCGCGCGTGGGGAGAAGGGGGGGGGAAGACTATGCACCAGCTTGTGTTCCCTCGTCCCGGATGGCCCCCTCGTCCCCCTCTATAACCCCCTGCCTTGTTAGTGGGGTTGAGGTATGCGTCCAATACTGCTGCTGCTTATGTTTTCATTTCCGGCTTCATGTGCACGTGCTGTCCCCCTTCTGGGTGCCATCCTTTCCGCGCCCCCGGTCGTCCAGGTGTTGGACAACTTCACAGCTAGTTTCTGCGGTACCCAGGGGGACAAGGAGCAGCGGGTGCTTATCAAGAAGCTGCTGGCGGCTGTGGGCGGAGAGGAGGTGCGTGTGTGTGTGTGCACGTGTATGTGTGTGTGCACGTGTATGTGTGTGTGCACGTGTGTGTGTGCACGTGTGTGTGTATGCACGTGTGTGTATATGCACGTGTGTGTGTATGCACGTGTGTGTATGTGTTGGTTGGTTGCGGGGGATACGACCAGGTTTGTGCGGTGGTGGATGTGGTTTTGTGAAGAGGAGGTCTGCGTAGAGTGCAAGCGCTACAGGGGCTGGCATGACCCGCTTGAAACTGTAAATCAGACACACGGGCGGACATACGGACGGACTGGCTCGACATGGTGTACCGTCTGCGCTCTTGACGGAATATTTCCGTCCGTCGTATCATCATTTCTAACCCGTACGCCTCCCCTTCCTCATGTTTCACCCTCGCACACATCTGTGCGTGTGGGCGCGCTCGCAGGTCCGCAAGCTGCTGGCCGCCGTGTCCAAGCTGCCTGGCGGGGTGTCGGCGGTTCCGGAGCCCAAGCATCGGGAGAGGGGACCCATTCCGGACGTGACACCGCAGGTACGACACTCCACCAAACCCATTTTCCCCCGGTCTCATCCGATAATTAAGCATTGCCCTTATCCCTCGGGTTGGGGATACGCATCATGCGGCACCTTGTGCTGCGCTGTGGGGGCTTTGAGTAGAGTGTGCGTGTGTGGAGTTCAGTAACTCACATGCCGTACAGAACAACTATTGGCGACGGCGGACAATCCCAGACACACACTCGTCGTTTGTTCGCGTCCCTCTGTACCTATATGCTGTGTCTTTGTATTTAAATCGGGACTACACGTATATCGTGTTTTTGAACCAATTACCAAATGCCCGATTTTCAATTGGACGTGCGTGTGTGTGCAGGATTGGGGGCTGCCGCACTTGTTCGACCTGCCGGATGTACTCTAGCCAGGAGGCCGCTATTGCTACTGCTGCTATTGCTGCTGCTACTGCTGCTGCTACTAATGCTATAGTCAGCTACTGCAAGTCTCGCCGCCGCTGCTGCTGCTGCTGCTGATGTATATGCGTTTGCTTGTACTACCTTCTATCACTCCTTTAATGGATAGGATACGGATATTGCTGATGTTACTGCTGCTGCTGCTGCTGCTGCTGCTGCTGCTGTGCTGCCGTAGCAGCCTGCCGTGATGGCGCGTGTATGGGAGAAAGACTTTTTCCGGGCAACGCGTGCGAGCCGTAGATGTTTAAAAACGAGATGTAGTGGTTCGGGAAGCAGGTTTAAGGTGAGAGGAAAGCTGTAGGGAGTGTGCCGCTGTGTAGGGCATGATTTTGTGGCAAAGAGACGCATAGGATATAAGAGAGGTGTCGGAGAGAAAATGATCTTTTAAAAGCTATGGCGGAGGACGGAACACGTATAATAGGTACAGCCACATGCCGTGTAAGAGGTACACGTCAGGATGAGGAACCAGGACCCGGACTCCTCATCCGCTCGAGTCCGCATGCCCCCCGCCCGAATAGCGCCCTAAGATGCCTCTAGGGTAGGGACGAAGATGGAAGATGGTACGGAGGAGGACAGGATCGGTTTCAATGCCCCACGCCCTCCGTTGTAATGTGCAACCTTCCGGGGCTCGCAACGGCAACATCAGCGACGAGAGGTGACATGTCTCTTAGATGGCAGGCAGGCAGATACAGCTACCTGGCTCTTTTCAAAAAAGAGCCATAGTTGGTTTTTGGAAAAACCAACTTGACGTGATGTCCCATGGTGACTTGTGTGTCTTCGCCTTCCAAAGTATTCATTCATTACTCGGAAGGAATGGAAAAGGCCCTTTCACGGGGATATCCGCTATCCGGGACTGTCGTTGCGTGCCTATCCAAGGACAACATCAGGGAAGTGGTAGTGTGGTGGGAATAGGATAACGAGAATGCTGTAGGTTCGTCCATGCGAATGGGGGCCATTCACGCGTTTGGGGATTCAATCCTGGTTCTTGAGAATGTCCTGGCAATACTGTACGAGTAACATGGCACATGACACCGCATTGTAAAAGACTATCCGTTGTTTCAAGCCTGACTGGCAAACGGAGCTTCCCGTCGCGTTTGAGGACAGCATCCAGCTCCAATCTTGCACCGTCCAGAACTGGACGCATTGTACCTTCAGTTATCGCTTCCACTTATGTCCGCAAGAGCTGTGCGGAGCCTAAGTTTACCACCTATTTCTGCCATGTTAGGATTTCCTGGAGAAAGTTATAAGCATTCCGTTAATTACGGTAATGACTAACATTTGTTATTATATTATTAGTACCAATTCAGCCACCAATTATTACTATTATCATTGCATTAAACAATATTGTTATGTATTATTGATAAAATTATATTATTATTACTATTTTTATTATTGTTGTTATTATAATTATTATCATCACTATTATTATTATTTCTTGTGATGTGTACGCGGAACCATTCCTCGTACAGCCGACTGCCGCAACCGTTCAGCGATATATCCTTCCTCCAGTTAGTCCCGTCTAGGCGGACATTCCGCTGTCAAGAGCTAACTAGCCGATACGTGTTTCTTGTAAATATATATAAATCGTTATCTAGTCCTTCCTCGTAACATGCGGCATGTTACGAGGAAGGACTAGATAACGATTTATATATGCCATGTTCCGCCGACATACAACCATTTCGAGAGCACTCAATGCAATCTCACATTACACAACAAGCTAAAGCATATTTTGTGTTTAGGGAGCTGCGGAGCTGGGAGCTGGGAAATTTGTGTCATGATGCTTCAACCAACTGGCAATCGGAAGGAAACGTCTTTGGCAAAAATTCTTACAGTAAAACAAATGGAATACGTACAGTTCATGCCCCCGGAGGTTCCGGAATCGAGATAGGTCAGACACGAGTAAAGTGGACCTGCGAGCTGATCAGGAATGGAGTTGAGCCGCCGTTGAACTGGCAGATTCCGTTGGACGCCGGTGGTGGGTACTGAACCTGAGCGATCCACTGAATTCGGAGACGTCGGCTAGGGTGATTGGATGGCGGTGCCCCGAAATACTTGGGGAAGGCAGGGTTTCGCCGGTTAGCGGCCACGGGTGAAGATATGAACCCCTGTCCCACACATCATATTTGCAGGCGCGCAGCGTGCTGCCAACGGACCACCGTGTCCTCACCATTATCCATTAACCAGCCCCACCGTCCAATCGCCCATCCTGGACCACCTAAAACATGCATTTGAAGGTGCTCCTCACTCGCAAAGCAGTCTACCCTCGACCCGTGCTCTCCTATTTACCTCCTCACCTCCACAGACCACCAATACCCTGCAAACCCCTTGGTGGTGGTTAGGCCATTCCTTCCTTCGCACGAGGCACGGAAACAAGCCACACCCCTCGGATGGGAATTCCTGAGTTAAAATCGCCACCTGGGCTAAACCTAATCCACATTCATTCCTGCTTGAAGTAGTACACAAGGCGGCCCATTTGCTATCTCGGCTTATCCTCACCCTCCTTCTGTGGGACTTTACGAGTATGGAGCGTAGTTGCGAGCTTGCTACGTGGCGTGTCGCGTGTGCGGTGAGGTGCGATGTGTGGGATGGTGGTTTCACCCAAACACGCGCGGCGCTGCGGGTCCAGCCAGCTGCTCACACACCGCTGAGCCCCCCGAGGCCAGCTGGTCAGGCGGCAGCCGGATATCTGGAGTGATGCCCACTCGGTTAATATCCAGACCTGTGTGCGGAAGTGAAGAGAAGGGGGTGCGGGTGCGGCTGTGGGTGCAGGTGGGGCGCAAAAGGGGAGGATGTTGAAAAGGAGAGTTCACAGCCGAACCGACTCCTCTTCGGTTGGAATTAAGCCTCATGTCATCGAACGGCGTGTGACTTCCATAAACCTCCCCCCCCCCCAGCGTCAAAAACCCCAGAAACGCATGTATGCACACACGTACATACACAAACCCTAAACCCGGCTGTCATTTCACTTTATGGACATGATGGAAGTGGAGGGTGGAGAGTGACAGAGGTATCAGATCACCCACACACCCCAACCCGGAACGCACCGGCGGGTGTCTGGTACTTGGCCACGGTGATGGCCAGCCCTGACCCGTCGCTCAGCTCCACCACCGTTTGAATGAGCCCCTTGCCAAAGGTATTCTCGCCCACCACTACACCTCGACCACTGTCCTTGAGAGCTCCTGCCAGCACCTGCAGCACCCACCAGCCGCCTGTACACCTCAGGCGTCGTGTGTGAGTTTGCACGTGGCTCTGCCGTGTGTGTGTTTTTACTAACAGATCTGAAAACCCGAAGTAAGGGGCTAAGCGGTCTGAGTGACCGATGTGAGTTGTGCATATGTCTTTGTAGGTCTGCTGGGTATTGAAATGGGTATTTAAATGATCTGAGGCGCGAGGCGTAAGGTAGGAGAAGTCACATGCAAAACGCCACCGAAGCACGTAGTAGTCCAGTAAAATCAAGTGATGGGGTTACCTGAGTCTATTTGAAGATGTTGATGAGTAGGGTGAATGGGAAAGGCGCCACAGCGAGCAGAAGTAGCCGTCACTGTAGTGGCGATAGACGGGCAACTAGACGGTACCCTAAACCTCTACACTAACTATAGACTACGTAAGGACCACTCATGTTTGCAGGTGTGCTCTTCCATTTCCGTATGTCCGTGACCCCACGCCACACGCCACACGCCACATTGCCATACGCGTAAACCTCCAGTGAACCATATTCCCCCTACTAGACGCGTCTCTCAGTCCAGTTCAGTTCGTTTTCCCCCACCACGCCGTTTCGTAATCGGTCCCGGCACTGCGCCAAGGCCAGCTCCCCAGGTCACCTAACGGAAGGACAGCCAAAAGCGTTCTCCTCCGTCACTCTCCCACCCACCTCCGACCCACCCACCTCCGACGCGCTGGCGGTTCCCTTGTTGACCCAGACCGAAAGAGGTGTCCGCGTGTCTAGCGAGGAGGTGCCGTCAGCCGTGTAGATGTCCCTCACGCCAGCTGAGTCGGAGATGAGCACGATGTCGCCGCCGGACATCAGCAGCTTGGCCACTTGCACACCTGGGGCCGTGAAGAGGGTGTGTGTGTGTGTGTGTCTCGGGAAATCAGGATGGGGGATGACAGGTGGAAAAACGTTGGCCTACTTGCGATTCAAGTTGTACAGTACTCGCAATATGTTTTATTAAGGTAACACTAAAGGTGATTTCTTATATATAAGCCCTAGTACAAACTAAAGACCCGTGAAGTAAAGACCCACCAGCCGGAAAGAGGCCGCCGCCGTTGTTGCGCAGGTCGAGAATCAGGCCGTCTGCGCCAGCCGCCTGGAGAACAAAAACGTGCAGGCAAGGTTGGTACAAGCAAAGCCGTACGGACAGTCAGTCAGCAGATGCCCAACCTCCAGGGGGTTTACCAATGAGGACATTGCACACATCCGCACACATCGTTCCAGGTTACCTACATTTTGGTAGTGCGCCATCCATCGCCCCCAGTGTGTGACCCTGGACAAGCTCTACCCTTTTTTCCCCTTGCAGTGACAGAGAGAGAGGGAGGAAAGGTACGGCATGTACGGCACGCCATGTGCAAAGCCAACCCCACCAACACCAGCGAACCCCCATACAACCTTCATCTCCCACCCACCTGCGCATCCTTCAATGCTGATGTGACCCCCTCCAGTGTATTGGAGTTGAAGGTCGACACACGCACATAGCCCACCCGCACGTCACCAGCACCCTCAGGGCCCCCAGACTCCCCCTTCAGCCCCACGGCCGGCTTTACACCGCTGCACAGCGCATAGCTGACAGGCCGAATGACCACCAGCTCACTGAGGCGAGTTATGTGGACAAGGGGGGTTAGGGGGAGGAGGAAAGGGGGCCCAGGGGCTGTGGACAATGGCCCAAGAGGAGGAGGACAGGAAGCGTCAGGCCAACGGGGGAATGCGACCCTAAGAAACGTAAAGAGAAGCACACATGTGATGGCTCAGAGATGAGTCATACGTGTCCAGATTGCTTGGAGGGGTGAGGAGAAAGGGGAGGAGGAGAAGGGGCCGGCATGGGGTGGCGTGTAGGCATGTGGACAGGCGGGAGGGCGTAGTGGGAGGCGGGAGGAAGGAAAGAGGGTACCCTGGAAACATAGACAACTTTGGATTCCAGGGCATTCTGCTTCGCGCATCCGTACCCGGCGCTGTGGTGCGGCGGTGATAGATAGCCGCGAAGCTCAATTAAATCTCACAATCTGGTCTGGGTTGACACTACTGCAATTAGCGGTTTAAGGTCCTGGGTTCGATTCCTGGGGAGACCCCCGAATTAGTCGGGAGCGCGAGATTATGGCTAGCTGCTGAGATGTGGAGTTGAGGTCACAGTTGATGGACCAGATTCGCACGCTGGATTGGTGGCGATTGCCGAACCCTCCGTCTCTTCGGGTGTTCGGGTGAATGGATGAGGAAGGGTCCCCGAAGGCTGGATCCGCCGCCTTGGACTTACAGTTCGTATGGCGAAGTACAGTGTGGTAGTGGTGGATGGTGCTATAAGGTGATAAATGATCTAGAACTGACAATGTGATAAAGCGGCCCAGAAGCTTCCCACTCTGTAACATTACAACATTACAACAACAACATTACAATTAAACCCGTGGGACCTCCTAACTCCCAAGAGGCTCCCTGGACCCCGCCTCACACGGCTCACCGAATGAGGGGCACCTCCCTGGGCGGCAGAGGTTTCCCATCGGGCCCGTTTGACTGCACTCGGAGCGTCACTGGGCTGCCAGGAGGGCCCTATGGTGCGGCCCCAAGCGGGACGGGCAGGACGGGTGGAGGAATGGGTGGGTGGGTGGATGAATCATCCATCATGAATGGGTGGGGCGCGTTGTTGTACGGGTGTAGGAACCCTTCAGGGTTCAGAGGAGCTGTCCGTGGTTAGTGATGGGGATTTGTCGTACAGTGGTGGCGGTATGGGGTAAGTCTAGTTTTCATTTCCCCGGGGGCGGGCGGGGGCCAGACCCCGGGGTTTTAGGGTATCCGGTTAGTTGGAGGAAAGGGGTTGGATGCTGGTGGGTGCGAGGAAGGGATGTTGTCGGTCTTGGTATGGCCGCGGTTTGGTGCAGGGGCTGCTTATGGGCGGGTCCCGAAACATCGCCCGACATTCACACGCCTGCCGCTTCACCTATGTACCGATGCTTGTATGTGCGAACATGTCCGGTAACGTTGACAAGGAGTTCCGTACCTGCAGCAGATCCGATGCCTCGTACAGGCTGATCCCCATCGTGGGTTTGTCGTCCACTGCCAAGATGACGTCACCCGGCCGTACTCCCGCGCGGTCGGCGGGGCCACCTTCCGCTGGCGTCACCACCTGCCGTACAATCCGCCGTATAGTCAGCGCCCGGATGGAGCAAGGCAAGGCAACTATGCTAAACAAAACCAATATTACGGTCCCGAGTCCCACAAATAATTGCGCACACAACTTCCGTAGGTTTTGTACACGGCTTCCCTCAAATACAATATAAGTGCGATGAATGATGTAACCATGTATCAGGCGACCAGGCAACCCCCGAATCTTTCCTAGGGAAATATGTGATAGGGTGAAACGTAAAAAGCTATTAGTGACAACAACTCACAACAAGCTGGCTGGGGTGTTGGAGGTCTCACACTGTAAGGACCCACAATCGTGTCCCCTTCCCTCCTGGCTCTTGGGGGGGAGAGGACCCCAAGAACCCTCCAGTCCGACCCTCTGAACCCCAAAGCCCCCGCCCTTCCTCCTACCTCCCTCAGCCCTAACCCCCCGGACCCTCGTCTTCCTCTCTCACCTTCAGAAGGCTCCCCGCCAGTCCGCTGCCCTCCGTGAACGTCACCTCCAGCCCCACCCCCGTCACGGAGCTCTTCTGGGTGCCCCGCCGGAGCTCACTCAGACGGGAGGGCTCTAAGAACCTGCGGAAGTACGGCAGTAAACCCGAACGGTGGGAGGGTGAGGCGAATGAAGAATGGGAAAGGAGGGAAAATGTAGGGGACAAAGACCAAATGGGGTGGGCCCCGCGTAGTGGTGGCCGTACTCATTGGGGTGGTCCAGGGGAGGGGAAAGCGCCAGAGGGAAATGTCTGTGAGGCTGCAGGGAGAAGTGAGGAGGTACCCAGGGCTTTCAACCCGGCGTGTCTCAGCCCTGTCTTGCCCCGCACAATTTCCAGAATCCTCCACAGCTTGCATTTGCCGAATCGCCTTGCGGCCTTTCCCGTCACTCCGCTTCCTTACACCCATCACAAGCCACCTACCGAGTGAAGGGATCGTCCAGGGAGGCCACAAGTTTACGAATGGCGTCGTACGTTTGCGAGCGGCTCTCGAAGGACTCCTTTTTCAGAAAGGTCTCCCGGACCTGCAAGCAAGGCAGCAAGAGTAGTTGTGGTGGGGCAGCTAGTCAAATCCGTACTATGCCCCCATCCGTACAGTACCCGCATCTGTACACATGTGTTCGTGCGCAACCTTCTTCAGGTTCCGCTTCAGTCGGCCTCACGCCTGTCGTACTCCCGTACTCATCCATGCATACTCACCCGCTGACCTACATGGGCTCACCCGCAATGGCCTACCCCACCCCCTTCCCATCCCGCCCTTTTCCCTACCCAACCTCTTCCTCACCCCGCCCCTCCCTCATCCCAACCAATCCCTCATCCCAACCCATCCCCCGGGAGCGCCCGCCCTTTACCATTTCTTCCATCACCCGCCCTTTCCCCGGCGCCATCCACCACCACCAGCACCCACCCGGAACCAGCTCTGTCCGTTGAAGCTCTTATCCACATAAGCGCGATCAACCGCTCGCCAGGCCTGGGGGGAATGATGCAATGGTGTACCGCGGAATGGAGTCCTTTGGCGGTCACATGGTAACACCGTGGCGGCCTTGATGGACGGGATCCGTTGGAAACACATTGGCCATCTCGAGGTGTTTGACCGTCTTCCCTTCCCTTCCTCACGTATGGAGCAGTGGCCTGACGTCTCAGGGCCCGGCCCGACTGTTTGTACCTTGATAACCTTCTCACAGAGCCCAACACAAGCCCGCACGCCGCCCTCCATGTCTCCCCCTCTCCCCCCCCCCTGCACCTCAAGGAACAGCAGCTGCTCCGAGCTGACAGCATGGGCGGCCTGCGGGGGAGACAGCGGGCCCAGGTCGGCTGCGCCCGGGGGCCCGAAAAGCGCTGCCAGCGTCACTGCCGCCGCCACACCCGCCGCCGCAACGAAACCGCGAGCAGCAGCCGCCAGATCGCGTGACGCCGGCGACTGCACGTGCAACGTTTTTATGTTGGCGGCGGGGAAAGAGGAGGGCAGCAAGCCACATTAAGGCATTTTGTTCTTGTGTTGGAATGCGCGAGGTGAAGTAGAATGAAAAGTACGACATGCATGTAGCTGAGGATTTGACCGTTGCCGCTGCTGCTACTGCTCTTTCGCAAATACTGCTACTGCTCTTTCGCAACTACACCGTGCCATTCAGCGTTGCAGGCGTAATTATTGGACAGAGTACTGGCTAACTGTACGCAGACGTGTGTGTTGCGCTTGGTGTGATGTGTTTTCGTACGTATACATGTAAACTAGGCATGTTTGCGTGTACCACATCTGGTATCAGGAGAGACGCACGGCAGCCCATCACTTGGGGGAGTGATGCGGGTGGGTAGTGACTCGCAATACCCAGCGCACGTACCGTGGCATATATCGTGTCATGCCGTACGGGGCTGTGGGACTCCTCCCCTGCTGGCTGAGGTTGACCAACCTCTTCGAAGGCATCTTTTCCCCCTCTAGCTGCTCCTGTTGGTGCCGGTGTTCGTGTCTTAAGCGCTGCACCACCAGATGACCTACAAGGAAGGCTTACTTAGGAAAGGGTTGAAAAACGTGCGGGCGTGGGTTCGGCTGGATGTGTTGAAGGGTGCGATGAGCCTTTGCACGACATAGATATGGGTCTGCTGCTGGCAGGTAGCAATGTATGAGGAGTTGGCAGATTATAGTGTGATGATAGAGTACATCGGGGCTTTACGGGGGCATGGCAAGGCTTTGCGATCGTGGTTCTGGAGCTCCGCGGGGACATTGGTAAGGAGGGACGGAGCTGTTGGTGCGGTCGGGCGGGGGACAGATAAAGGAATGAAGAGGGCGAAAAGTAAACAATGGCGCACCTTTTGTGAAAGGCGCTGCAGCTTGTCCTGATACTGCATAACGGCTTTACGCGAGAAGCGCTGTGCAGCTGGCAGCGCTGCGGTCGCTGTGCAAGCATAATAGTCAAGTCCCTCAGAATGTAGCTTTAAAAAGCTAGGACATCTACGAATGCGTCCATCTTTATTATTGCAGGATAAAAATACTTCCTAGAACGGAGTTAAGGGCGCAATATCCGTACAAATGCTGCGACCACGCAATCGGATGGCCATTTTGGACGCCTAGTAGCAAAATCTCTTTGTGTTTCCTGTATACTTTGTGTGCAAATTACATGGGCTGGTGGGGGTATTGCAATCTTCCGGGCTGTCGAGCTCATTTGTTTCGTTTCCCATGCATGTAGCCCACGAACTCCAAAGTTGGAAATCCTTATAACCTCAGTAATGTGACCAATCACATTTGCCTTGTTTCAGTGCAGTTGCCAAGCTTGCGTATATATGTGCTCTTCATAGGGCTTGCTGAAATGTTTCCAGTAGCGGATCACTCAGCTGTAGCAAATCCAATAGTTTTGCTAGCTAAGATCTCCGTGATAATGGCAACATCGGTTGACTGCACAAAAAAGGCTTGCAGATGGCCGTTGCGGCCCGTGCGACGTGGCCCGTGTTCACGCGCATATCCTGGAGTGTGCTCTAAAGAGGAGCTGGCCCATAAACATGTACCCATTCGTAGAGCTCTGGTAACGCATCGTGTGTCAGAACCGCAGTGAACCTCGCAACCACCTGTCATGACCCACACGTTAACCGTTTGGCAAACCACCGGCTAACCATCGCCAGCCACAAGCCTCTCTCTGAACATCTTGAGCCAGGGCGCGGTGCTGATGGGCGCTGTTGGCGATGCAAGCTTTCTTGCTAACAGGACAATTGACAGCGTGCGACGGTTAATGCATGGGGTACTATTGCTTTACACAGAGGAACATCTCCCATGGAAACAATCTGACTGGAGGGGGTGGGAGCCAGGCGGAGAGCAGGATGAATGGGACGGGAAAGGGTGGGGGAGTTTGCGCATGGCAAGGCTGAAAGCTCTACTGAGTTAAGGCAGAATGTCTTTACCAGGAGAGCAGAAGCTTATAAAAGGGATCGCCACTGCGATCCAGCTCGTACGACAGTCACACACATCAGCCTTAGAGGCTCCGATCGCCACACGCTCTGTCGTATCTAAGCCAACTAATAGGACAGGACATCACCGGTGCAGCAGCAGCAAGGTAGCACAGCACCACCTAGCACCGCTAATGACATTGTGTTTAAAGTGGAGCCTTGTAACTTGCCATGAAAGGTCTTGTGAAAGTAATAGCCGTGTGTCCCTTGCCCGGTTCGACTGCTGCTGCCTTACCATGGCAGAATGCACACGGCCGCTTCAACATAAGGTTGCACAGAGCAAGCATCGCCGCGATACATGGCACATGCTACATATAGCGGCTATACGTTATAATACAGACTATGTACAGAGTCTCGGCACAGCCGAGGCAAGCAGCCTCTGTTTCAGGAGCCACGTCAGCCATCTTCCCGTACTAGGGGGTTGCTCAAATCCAAATCGGGTAACAACCTGCCTGTAGTAGCTGGTACACAGTACGGCTCTACAAATACGCGCGTAGCGCGACCACCAGCATCTCGAGAGGCCTTTCCAGCGGCCAGCTACTACATTTGGTATCAAAACCCTAAGCCTTAATAACCCATTGACCCCGCCTGGTGGGAAACACCTGCGGATTATTTGGGCCGCGGCTTAAGAACTTTTTTTAGAATGTTACCGATGAGCAGTTTAGTGGTAGCATGATACGCAATTTAAGCATCGCCCTGTAGGCCAAGGTGTCTGGATGCACCCATGTTGGCCAGGGAGGTAAGCACCCTCCCCGTCCAGCAATCAACATCACCCCGACACTCCCAACCGCCAGCTCGAAGTCAGAAACGAAATCGCTCTGGCACAATGTCCAGGACCCCTTAACCATTGAGTTCCAAAACCGAAGAACATGTCTTTTTGCCCTATGGCATAAAACGAGGGGTAACCCCCCCTTAAGCATAACCCAGGGGTTAGGGTTAGGGGTAAGGGTAGGGGTAAGTGGTTACCCATGTGGCTATGTACGAAGGGGGGTGGGTAACCTAACCCCGGGGTAGGGGTAACCCCTTACCAAGGGGTAACAAAGGGGTCAGGGTGACCCCTTACCAAGGGGTAACAAAGGGGTCGGGGTAATATTGTACTGAGGGGTAACAGACAGGGTAACCCGTGTTTACAAGTGTTCCTTGTCCGTATGCCGGGCCATATGCTGGTGTCAATGGATTGTAAGCATGTCCCTGTCCAACCTGCCTACACATGCTATCACAGCTGTCTCATCCATCTATGTGAGCACGTATGCCTATTTCGCCTGTCTATGTGTGCGTAAACTTCCATCCATGCATATGCCTGTATCGAGCTCACATGTCTACACATACAAACATACATGTTCACCAAACACTTTGAGTGTACAATTGTAAAGATTGCCTCACCAACACAAGCCTTGCAGGGCTGTAGAGCCCGCCCATGGCCCCAGGCTCGGTGTGTGTATAAACTCGCTAATTACACCAACGTCATCATATCAAGAGGAAGGAAATCAGACCCAGCCCCCAGATTCAGTTCCGTATGATCTGATGTACGGCTCCATACACATGTCTCACTAAACGAGTTGCTGACTCCGATATTTGATTAATCCGAGGTCTCCCACCACGGGGACTCTAGAGTCCAGACCTGTTTTGCATGCACGGAAAAGAAATGGCAAAATTTAAGGTTATGCTTAATAACTGTCATACGACAGAAACCGGGAGGATAGCTATAGGTGGCAATACACATATCAGCTGCAGGGTTTTAACATTAGCTAGTGCCCAACTCTGAACAAAACCCAAAACCAAAACCCTGAGAGCACAACTTACTTCACTCACTGCCTATCCGTGGATCAGCTGACCCTCGACGGCGGCGGCTGGTCTTTGCCTGCTCTGCACCAGCCTCAGTTGGGGGCGGTTCCTTTCGCTTCCTACAGCCAGCTGGGTGTCTGTAAGGACGCAAATGCCAATCTATGCATCCCAGGTACGCCTTTGCTGTGTTACAATGGTATCGAGACAGGACCGCACGACTTCCGTAATAAACTTCGGGTCGGCGGTTCGATTCAGGCAGCCAGCAAATCGCATATTGGCGATTTCATGGTGTAATGGTTAAACCAGCGCACTGGCGCGAGGTGGGATGGCTCCTGTGCTCGAAAGAATAGCCGAGGACGTCCATTGCTAAGTGGGGGGCAATGTAACGACGCAAATGCCAATCTGAGCATCCCGGGTTACGCCTTTGCTGTGTTACAGTGTCGGCTTCCTGCCGGCTTCCTGCCACGGGGCTTCTTTCGTTCCACCTCCTCTCCCTCCTCCGTGGTGGGGTTCTCACCCATCTCTGCAGCTGTCCCGCACCCGTCACCCTCATCACTGGTCGGCGGGTTGGCGGGGTTCTGCTGCTCTTGCTGTCGTGGAACTTGGACAGGGGCTACCTCTTCGGCACCAGCTGGTGTTTCGGCGGCAGCTGCATTGCCGCCCTGCTCTGTGTCTGCAAATCACGATCACATTGTAGGGATCAAAATCTTGCTTACAAGAGTGTAAAACCGCTGTGAATGTCCCGCACACTATGAGTCTTTCCATCCATCCAGTCAACCCTCCTCCCAGCCCATCCCAGAAACCCACCATCCTTCTTCTTGTCCACGAAACCCGCCTTCTGCTTGATGCGCCCCAAGATTGCCAAGGCCTTCTCCCTGGCTTCCTGGTCGGCCTTCTGCCGCATGTCATCTGTCGGCTCCTCCCAGGTGCCCTGCTCCTTAAGCTGTTTCACCTCCGTCCGCACCGTGTTGAACATGCCTTCGTAGCCCTTTGGCTTGAGCCCTGCACCATAGCACGTACACACACATTCAGCCATCGTACATGTCGGGAACTGACACTGCAAGTGGGGGGAAATTGAAAAGTGCGCTATTGTTGGGGGTGTCCCTTTTCCAATGCATGATTTAGTACCCCCAGGTGTATATGTACATTCCCCCAATTTGCAAACTTACCGCCTTGGTAATTCTGCATGCACGTTTTCATGCTTTTAAGGAGAGCTGCTTCGACCTCCTTCCGTGCCGTGCTGTTCCTCTTTAGGGATAGGAGGTTGCCCTTGCCAATGGTCTTGATATGGCACAGTACAGTCATCCAGTGCGTTATGATGGTCTTGATATGAATCGGTGTCGTAGCAGGGGTGTCGTTCCGGGGTGCCAGGCCCTCGCTGATGTCGGTCCAAAGAATGCCCGCCTTGATAACCCTGAATGCGAGGGCAGAAGTACGGCCGTCATGGGGAGAAAAGCAGGGAAGGGAAGAGCGGCAGGCCTGCCCTAGGGCACGCGTCGGGAAGGTGACCCCCATGTCTAATGCAAGTGTTTGAAATTTCCCATTATCGTGACTATGCTGCTCTGTTCACTGACGGATCCCAGGTCATGCATGCACTAAATGGGGTGATCACGGACCTATCTAATGGGACCTGCGACAGAACGGAGTCGGTGGAGCGCATTAGCACCCTCCTGCGGAAGGTGCTGATTCAAGTATTTGCAGGTCGCAGGCCTGAGGGTATGCAAGCGGGGGGTGGAATGCCAAAGCGCCCGGCAACACATGCTTGCTTGCAGGGTGCGGCTTGGCCCTGGCAGGGTCGAGAATAAGTCAGGCCCTTTGTGGGAAGCGTTCTGCAAGGCACGTAACGCAATGAATCGTGCCAAACGTCGTGCCCGAGCAGCATATGATGCAGAGAGAATGCGTGAGTTTGTGGTTAGGTGCAGGCACGATCAGCGCGCACTATGGCGGGCCTTGGGAGGGCAACTCAAGAAGCGTTGCGCAATTGACGACTTGCATGTATTTCGGGATCACTTTGCCACCTTGTTAAACGCAGGAGTTGGGGAGACGGGTGTTGAAGGTGCACATCGGCTCCTTAATTATATCTCCTTTTTTGGGGCCCCTTTGGGAGAGGGTGCTTGGCAAGCGTGTCGGACTGTCATGGACAGGAGAGCACGGGCAGCTAGCATCCTGGATGAGCCTTTCACCTTGGAGGAGGTAGCGCGTGCTGTCGGTAGGTTACCAAACGGAAAGGCTCATGGGCTTGAGGCCGTACCATCGGAATGTTACCGTTATGCACGCCTCCCACGGGTGGATGAGCGGGGCAGGCAGGGAACGGAGGTGAACTGTATCGTCCCAGTGCTGCGCGTTTTGTTAGAGCACGTCAGGGCAACTGGTGACTTTCCACAGCAGTTTACCAAAACGGTGGTATCCCAATTTTAAAGAAGGGTGACCCGTTGGTGGCAGGAAATCATCGAGGCATTGCAGTTGGAGGAGCACTTGCGAAGTGCTATGCGTCAGTGATCCTTAACCGCCTGGTACGTGCTGGGGAAATACTGGACCTGTGGCACCCATGCCAAGCGGGTTCAGGCGGGGTTTTGGCACCGCTCATCACCTCTTTGTCAAGCAACACCTGCTCAGGCGGCATCGGATCGCGGGGCAGCCGCCGTTGATAATAGTACAGATTGACTTTGAGAAGGCCTTTGATAAGGTGCCTCGTGAGCACATGTGGCTTCGGTTGCAGGAGAGGGGGATTAGCGGCCCCATGCCAGATGCTCTGAGAAAAGCGTACGAGAAGGTGTCCATGGTGATGAAGGTAAATGAGAAAGTGGGGGGAGAGTTTGAGTCTAAGCAAGGAGTGAAGCAAGGGTGTCCTTTATCTACGGAGTTGTTTGGACTCTTCATTGAGACACTAGCTGATCTGATTGATACTCATGACCTTGGAGAAGCTGGAGTACTTAAGTATGACGCACCCCTTGTGGACAGCAAGCGCGTCTCCATACTGTTGTATGCAGACGATGTTAGTCTGCTAGCGACGTCACTAGAGCGAATGTCTGAGCTGCTACATCTTGTGCCACAAGTAGTGTGTGGCTATTGAACAGGTGTTTCCACTAAGCGCCCCCGAACCATACGACAGGTTGCTATTAAGGCACCAAACCAATGTTATAGTAAGAGTGGGTGTAATTTAATGCGCAAATCATTACAGTTTGGTCGGCTAATTGCTGGAATGTGGGCAATTCGACCGGTCCTGCTCGGAATACCACTGGTCAGCGGGTTATTTGCGGCTGTGGATAAAGGAAAATACAAAAGTCAACGAAGGACCTTGAAGGACCCACCGCCTCTGCCGCCACCCTCTCGACCTTCACAACCCCCGCCTTCGGTCCCATCCCCCCCTCCTCCCCCACCATCGCCGGCACCTCCACTGCCTCCCCCGCCATCCCCTCCTCCTTCCCCACCTTCCTCACCTTTACCCCCATCTCCTTTACCGCCGTCCCCATCGCCACCTTCTCCATCGCCACCATCACCGCAGCCTCCTTTCCCAAGCCCACTGCTCCCGCCCCCGCCATCCCCGCCTTCCCCACCCCCTCCACGGCCACCTTCTCCCATCCCTCCCAGCCCCCTTCCACGGCCACCCTCGCCATCCCCTCCCCAACCGCCGTCCCCACCTCCACCTCCTCCACCTCGCCCACCCCCACATGCACCTAAGGCTCCTAAGTCTCCCCGAGCCCCC